GGGACTCGTATTACGCGCCCAAAGGGTCGGCCAACTATGGCATACCCGGCGACTCCACGTCCAATGTCTTGTGGCGGATCCAGAATAAGGAAATGGATGGACTCAGGCCTAAGGTTATTGTGTTTTCATGCGGCGCTGGTATGTTGTGATTTACCATAATTATTTTCCCGGAAAATATTATGTTAAATGTTAGTTTTTTAAAATCTGTTTTGTATTTTGTTTCTAATTATGATAATTATTATGATGTGTTTTAGGTTACAATAGTCTCCACAATCCGGACCCGAAAGTAGATCCCCGAACACAGCCCTCGGGTGCAGAAGTGTTGCGGGGCCTGAAAGAGATTATCACCGAATTGAAAGCAAAATTCCCGGACACCGGGATTATAGTGATCGGACACACCCCTTATCACAACGACGACCGCCGGCCCGATGTCAGCGAAGTGTCCAAAGAGATTAATCGGGAGCTGAAGAAGTTTGCCGATGAAAAAATCGTGTATTTCGTGGATCTGACGCCCAGTCTTGTGGACAGTAGTGGTCAACAATTGCCCGGCCTTTTCAAAGATGGCCTACACTTTACGTTAGACGGGTATCGGGTGTGGCATCGAGTTATGGGTCCGTTGTTTGAAAAACTAATGAAATGATTATAAAGTAGTTATTATATTAATAGTAATTTAGTACTACTAGAAAGAAATAATTTATTGTGGTGGTAATTTGATTAAGGTGATTTTTATTAAGATAGATTTTTAATTAAGATAGAATTTTAATTAAATGTAATATTTAAATTTAAAATAAAATACATATTTATCGATAATAAAATAAATAGTATTTTTTGTTTATTTTAATTTTGTAAGTATTGTATTTTATCTATTGCCACATTTTTACCAATTGATGTAACATATTTCATTTATTTGAAATAATTATTTTATGCCAAATGCCAGATTTTAAACACTTTTTGATAGACAATAGGTCAAATGTCCTTGATACATTAATTGTGGCTAGAACCATGTTAATAGATCTGGTACCAGACATATAACAACTAAAATATAAAGTTCCCATTGTTTCAATTTTAGTATAAGTTTTAGGTCCCTATGAGAATATTACATTTTATCGAGTAATTACATAGTTTATCACTTATTACATGTAAAGTTACTTTATATTAAATTGTAATGTAATGTCTCATTACTTATGCCATTACTATGCGTTAAATAACTGCTATTATAATGTGAAAACGTGTGCTCGAAAAATGGCACAAGTAATAAGGGTCAAATATTACAATTTAATACTGTATACATATAATAATTTGTTTATAAATTATATTGATTACAACAGTACAACAAGTTTGACCATAATTAAGGAAAGAGTAATCTACAGAACTCGACATATACTGTAATATTGTGATTGAATTAAATGGTGAGTGTGAAAATAGTTATCATAATTAATTAAAGCATTATACAAATGTCTAAATAATTTTTAAAAGGCAACTTTAAGTTATAAACTTAAAAATAATATTGACATTTTATGACAATTTTATATCTCAAAACGTGTTTATAAAATTTTAAAATAGTTTTTATATTTTAATTGTTTTTGCATTAAATAAATGTGTCATTTTTTAAACGTTCGCACTGAATGTTAACAGTAGTTAAGTGCATAACGTTTATAAATAACAATAAAGTCAATACAATACAGCTATTTAACTTAATTAGCTAAATTAATTAACTTAATTATGCACAATATAAATAAAGTTTAAATTAGTTAAACATATTGAAAGCTTATAGTATTTTGATAATATTTAATAATTATTATTCCATGTGGGTATTTATTATTTATTTATTATACAGTCGGGCATAACATATACGCACCCGTGGGAACCGCGGCGGGGTTACCATGACTGGTGGCTGCAACGGCACCACCAGTTGTTACAGTATACAACAGATCACCAAAAACAGATCCACTCCGTCTTCATCGGCGCCTCAATCGTACAATACTATCAATCGGAGGGCAAAGAGCTGTGGGACAGGTATTACGCGTTCAAAGGGGCCGCTAATTATGGCATTAAAGGCGACTCCACGTCAAAGGTGTTGTGGCGGATCCAAAATCACGAGTTGGACGGACTCCGACCCAAAGTGGTGGTTGTGTCGTGTGGGCCCGGTATGTGTGATATATAGCAATTGGACAGATTTTATGTTAGTGTTCATAATTTAATATGGTGTACTTGCGAACTTGTATTAATGTAATTTTAGTTTAATTAATTAATTAACAAAAAGATTGTTTAGAGATAGGGTATCTAACATAATTGCTGCATAGCTTGTGCGATAGACCTATCATATTGAATTGTATAGTTTATTTAAATATAATCAGGGTATAATAGTATGGACCGAAAGCCATCCCCGTCGGGACCAGATGTGCTCGAAGGCCTCAAAGAGATTGTTTGTGAATTGAGGGCCAAATTCACGGCCGCCAAAGTGATAATCATAGGACACACGCCGTATACAAACCCATCGATAAGCGAGAGATCAAAACAAATCAATGTTGAGATGAAGAAGAAAGCGGACGATGAGAATGTATTCTTCATTGATTTGACGCCATATATGACGGACAGTAGTGGACATCAAATACCGGCGCTGTTTCTGAGCGATCACTTGCACCTGTCATTAGAGGGGTATAGGGTTTGGCACAAAGTTATGCGACCATTGTTTGAACAATTGATGCAATAACCATGTTCATTATCTAACATTTATTATTTGGGGGTTTAAAAATAAATTAAAAATGTTTATTTTAAAATTCAAATCAAATTTCAAGAGATTAAATGTTGTTTTGTAAAGTTTTTTAAATTTTTATACTTAATTACAAAATTTATAAATAATCTCTAATAAGGATGTAAATGCTTTTTATACCTAATTTAATTATTACAAGCAACTATCTCTAAAAAAGTGCTTATGTTTTAAATGTCAAAAGGTTTTTTTACTGATAAAATATTTTATTGTGCAAATGTGAGACAATAAACACATGATAAAAACAAACACAATATGGTATAAAACAAGACAAAAAATACTTGTGGTAAATCAATTTAGAGACGACAAGTGAGAAAACAGTAAATAATGTTTACGTTAATAGTGTTGGCATTTATTGGCGTACAGTTGTGCTCAGCCGATGTGCACCCGTGGGAACCACAGCCGGGCTCTGGGGGTTGGTTACAACGGCACCAGCAGTTGTCTCAGTACACACACGATCACCAGAAACAGATCCACGCCATCTTCATCGGCGCCTCCATCACCGACTACTACCAGTCCGACGGTCGCGACCTCTGGAACAGCTATTATGTGCCCAAAGGGGCGGCTAATTATGGTATAGGAGGCGACTCCACGTCAAACGTCTTGTGGCGGATCCAGAATAAAGAGTTGGACGGACTTAATCCCAAAGTGGTGGTCGTGTCCTGCGGTCCCGGTATGTGTGATAATACCTGTGCCTACTATTATGTGTATACGTATTGTTTATAACATGTATTGTTATACAATATTTGTGTTATTGCTTTGTTTATAATAATATATTTATTATTTTCTGTAAATGCAAAAACATATTTAATTCAATTATTATCTGTTATTTTATAACCTTGTATTATAAATTAATTAATAACTATTTTTACCATAGTTATCACAACACAATTATTAACATGGTTTAATTATGAATATTTTAATTATGATTTAATTTGCAATATTTAGGATACAATACAATGAACCGAAACCCATCGCCGTCGGGACCCGATGTCCTCAGAGGTCTGGAAGAGATTGTAAAGGAATTGAGGGCCAAATTCCCGGCCGCCAAAGTGATAATCATAGGACACACGCCGTATATAATACAGTCTATAAGCGAGAGATCAAAACAAATCAATGTTGAGCTCAAGAAGACGGCGGACGACAAGAATGTATTCTTCATTGATTTGACACCAAATCTGACGGACAGTAGTGGCCATCAAAAGCCGGAGCTGTTTAAAGGCGATCACTTGCACCTGACATTAGCCGGGTATAGGGTTTGGCACGAAGTTATGCGACCATTGTTTGAGCGATTGATGCAATAATTAATGTATTGCGATAATGATTATGGTTATTTTATTATATATTTATTTTCATTATTCGTTAAAGGTTTAATGATTAAATTTATTTGTATTTTGAATCATAATTAAAATTATTTTAAAAATATTGTATTTATATTTTTAATCTAAATTGATTAAAATAAATATGAAGGTTGTTCTATAAAATGAATTATATATTGTATATATTGAATAGATTGTATATAAAGTTAGTTTATCAATTGAGTTACTTAATTAAATAAATAGTTTTGTTTATCATATAACACTTTTTTAACAAAAATAATTCTTTAATAAAAAAATTATAACAATCACTGATAATTTATACAGGTCAATTACATTTGCTTTGAATAAGGCATTTCATTAATCAATTGTAACAACAATGATGTTGCTATTTAAGTGTAAGATACAACACACATGATCATAATTACAATACAGGTATAAAAGAGGCACAAATATTCTTCCGTATATTAGACACAATAATGTTATCATTAATAGTGTTAGCATTGATTAGTATAAAGTTGTGCTCAGCCGATGTGCACCCGTGGGAACCGCAGCCGGGCTCTGGGCGTTGGTTACAACGGCACAAGCAGTTGTCTCAGTACACTCGCGATCACCAAAAACAGATCCACGGCTTCTTCATCGGCGCCTCAGGAGTGGCCCGGTTTGAGACGGACGGCCGACAGCTGTGGGACAGCTATTACGAGCCAAAAGGTGTGGCCAATTATGGTATAGGAGGCGACACCACGTCTAATGTCTTGTGGCGAATCCAGAATCAAGAGTTGGATGGACTCACACCCAAAGTAATTGTAATGACCTCAGGCCCCGGTATGTGCGATATACATGTGTTTAAATATGTATTACTAACTTGATTCTAATGACAGAGTTTAATACTATGCATCATAACGAGTCCGTATCGGCACCGGATGTCCTGCGCGGACAACAAGAGATTGTTAGTGAGTTGAGGGCCAAATTCATGGCCGCGAAACACATAATCATAGGACACACGCCGTATACAAACCCATCGATAAGCGAGAGATCAAAACAAATCAATGTTGAAATGAAGAAGTTGGCCGACAATAACACTGTATTTTTCATTGATTTGACGCCAAATCTGACGGACAGTAGTGGACATCAATTACCGGAGCTGTTTCTGAGCGATCACTTGCACCTGTCATTAGAGGGGTATAGGGTTTGGCACGAAGTTATGCGACCATTGTTTGAGCGATTGATGCAATAAATTAAATGTTCATTAAATAAATTTTTGTTTACCTAATTAGTTGTTTTGCATTCTTATTTAATTTACAAGGAGTTATAAAATCAATAACTGTAATACCTTACAGTTTGCATAAAATACAATGCTTATTATCAAGTTAGATTGTGGTAAATAAGTTATTGTAAACATAATTTGTTTCAATAGTTAAATACTTACACTATTTGATAACTTTTAAAAAACAAAAATTAGTTTAAAGTTTATATTTAATTAATAACTAAAGCACTTTAGCACAGGTGAATTTTATTTATTTTGTTAATTACTAAAATTATTTGTAAAGATAGTGAAGTTCTGTTTAAGACTTATATGAGAAACAAAACACATGATAACTTAATAATACGATATATATAAAGCTCATCAAATCAATAAAATATTATCTCAGTTTAGAGACAACGAGTTAAAAAAAACATAATAATGTTAACGTTAATAGTGGTGACATTTTTAGGCATAGAGTTGTGCTCAGCCGATGTGCACCCGTGGGAACCGTCGCCCACCGGTTGGACACAACGGCACAAAGATCTGGTAAAGTATACACGCGATCACCAACAACAGATCCACGGCTTCTTCATCGGCGCCTCAATCGTCAATAACTATCAGACAGACGGCAAGGAGTTGTGGGACAGCTATTACACGGCCAAAGGTGTGGCCAATTACGGTCTGGGAGGCGACTCCACCTCAAATGTCTTGTGGCGGATCCAGGATAAGGAGGTCGACGGACTCACACCTAAAGTGATTGTCATTACCTCCGGTCCCGGTATGTGTGTGTGTGTGTTATATAAGGCTATATAATGTAAATGCTTTGCATTACATGTGTTTAATGTTTTATTTTTATGTAATTTCACGCATAATTACTAAATGTGTGGAAAATTTATTAACCAATAGTAAAAGTATTATTGCATTTTTAGTTTTATTTATTAATTATGTTTTAGAATTTTATGTTTAAATTATTGAATTATTAATTATTGATTATTATTGAATTATTGATTTAAATTATTAATCACAATGTAAAATAACGGATTTTAAATAGATTGTTAATACTCTATTTTGTGAAATCATGTTTGACAGTTTTAAAATGATAATTTAATATTTAAATTATTTAATTGTAATGCTTTAGGATTTAACTCAATGAACCGAAACCCGTCCCCATCGGCGCCGGATGTCCTGCGCGGACAGCAGGAGATTGTCAGTGAATTGAGGGCCAAATTCACGGCCGCCAAAGTGATAATCATAGGACACACGCCGTATACAAACCCATCGATAAGCGAGAGATCAAAACAAATCAATGTTGAGCTCAAAAAGTTGGCCGACAATAACACTGTATTTTTCATTGATTTGACACCAAATCTGACGGACAGTAGTGGACATCAAATACCAGAGCTCTTTAAGAGTGATCACTTGCACCTGACATTAGCCGGGTATAGGGTTTGGCACAAAGTTATGCAACCATTGTTTGAGAGATTGATGCAATAGTTACATCATTAATTAAATAAAATTAAACATGATTAAATTTATTGTATTTGATTATTTACGTTATTACCCTCTATATAAAAGTTCATACATACTGTAGATTGCACGCAATACATAATTAGTGTTATCACAAAAATTCTGTTTATTACTTGTGTTTATGCGGATATTATTTATGTGAAATTATGGAAAAATATGTGCTTGCTAATTTATTGCTTATTGCATATAACATTGTTTTTCATGATCAATACGTTATACATGATGTATCACATTTTATATGATGTATCACATTTTGTACGGCGACAAAATCGCACAAGAGCAATTAATTATAAATCTCAAGAAAACATTCTTTCATAGCATAGTGTAATCATCAGAATTTTATTTATTATCATGGTGATTTACATATACTGTAATTACATCTAGTTTAATTGAGTGTTATTATTATATCGAGGTAAAAATTATTTTAATTGTAGCTTAATTAATAATTACTGAAACCATAATATATCACATGCCCATGCAGAGCCCATGCAAAGCGTAGTTACTATGCCCTAAAGTATATCTAATTAATTAATTTAAAACAGTCAAATTAACATAATTAATAAATTAACAATAAACATTGTAGGAAAATTTTGTGATTGCTCATTTATTGCAGATGACATTGTTTATTCCTTATGGTTACTTTTTGTTTGTTTAATCAATTGTTTTATTGAGGTATTTTGATTCCCAATCCGCTTAACATTACTCAAAGGTATGGTCCGGCGGTTAACAAAAGTTACATATATATTCATAGTGTTTGATTAGAATAATTATTA